CTGTTATGAATAAATAAATATTATGACAACGGAAGAAAACAAAGAGATTTCAGTGACATTTTTTCTTGTATTTACCCAATACGTACGTTAGGAAAATGTTTCAATTTTGTAACATTTCTTATTATCTATTACAATTTTGATGTAGCTACATTATACTTTGACCAGTATTAACCAATAGTTTTTAGTTTTCTAAAATAACAAATAAATTCAACTTAATTATTATTTAAGAATAAAGGATAATTAATATATTCGTCATTCGCAGATAATAAATAAATTTAATTCATTCATAATTTTTGATCCTCATTCTGAATAACTTTTGGCTAATGTTCCATATAATAACATAAGAAACGAATAGTAAATAACGAATAAAGGTTTTCCACATGAATAGCGAATTATAGAAACAACTAATCACTTGAATAACAAATAACCAAATAATGATTGATTATTTATTTGTCATTGTTATTCAAATACAATTTTATTCCAATGGTGTCCAACATTCAATTCGACCAAAAGTATATTTATGTAAAATACATTTCATAATAATCTACTAACTTTTTATCTCGGATACATGTATACTGATTACAAGTAATATTTAATAAGTAGTTATAAACTTATTGTCATTGAGCGTATTACTTGGCCTCTACCAAAATTGTCTTCATACAAACACAACATTAAAAGTACACAAAAACCATTCACAATTAATCTATATGTATATGAATACGAATAAAGATATTAGAAACGATATAGAATGTAAAATATATATGAAATTTTCAAATACAAAATTCCTATAGGATGATCACTGATTAATATCGAGTACGTAAACTTGGACACAAATATAAGTATGGACGATAGTTTACGATATATAGGTACTAAAAAAAACTCTTACATTCCTTTAACTTGTTATAGTCATTTATACAATAAGAATTAAACCTTTCTAAAACCGCCAGGTGTTTCGTTTTCGTGGTGTTTCGAGTACAATCGAACAAAGAGCCGCGAGAATGATTAAATGAAAAATATGTTGACATTCACTTAGAAAAACATTAACATTTTAATAACTGTGGACATATCAGTATAATTTTGGAAACTGGATATTACTAAGCAAGAACGTAGTCAGACGTTTTTGAGTGCAATCCAATTAAGATCACCTATACATGTACTATTACATACAGTACTCTAAAAAAAAATAACAGAATTCATTAGTGAAACATATACAACGTTCCAAATAACTATACAGGTCCTAATGTAAATCTATAAATGCAATTACTTACAGAACTATTCGCAATTTAGAAAATGTCATAAACACAATTTTTTTCTGTTTCCATGGATTTTCAGCGCAGATGGGTTAACCTCTTGCCCTATAATATCGTCTTAGACTCGTAGCGAAGATTTCAAATAGAATTTAGTAAATATAAATATTTTTCAATTGGTTTGAATTCAAATGAAATATTCTTCTTCTGTTATCAATGATTATAGTTTAGAGCAAACGTTGGCATAGTATGTGTCTAGAATTTTTTTCTAATTTTCAATAAATTGATAATAACAAAGTAGTTAGGTCGATCACGATTTAGATAGAATGTATAAGGCAAGCGGTTAATATTTCTTATAAAGAATGACCTGCCACGCCGACTGTCGCGAAAAGGAAAAATGTCAAAATTATAGTTAAAAAAAATAGTAATGCCTTTCATATTTCCTACATACGTCCAGATAGAGACAAACAAAGTATACCAAATTCCTGTCTCCTCAAACTAGAAAAAATCAGATTTCAGACATTGTTTAAATAACGAATAGTTCAAGAAATAATACCATTTATATTTACACTAGAAACCAGACTTCTAAATATTTATTTAACACTAAATTTATGGAACGCGTCAATTTAACGCACACTGAATTTTACAAATATTATTCCATGAATGTTCATATGAATTTTGATTCATACAGTTATTAGAATACGTATCCTAATCGTCTACTTTTAAACCTACAATTCTCAAGGCCTGAGCGAACGAACATCAACTTTTCTAGAAACAGTTGAATAAATTGTACAATGCATATACGTAAATCTAGTGTTAAACTCGCTTCCACTATAAACTCATACGAAAAATCACCAGGCGTATCTCGTTTCACTACAGATCCAGCGGTCATTAAAATGTGAATCTCGAGTCATTCTTCCGTTAACCAATACGGTCTCGCAATCGCGAGTGTCGACCGGCCTTCACCCGGACATAAGTAGACAATTATCGAGCACGATAATGACGGGTACGCGATCAGCGTCACCGAAGACAGCCCGGTAACAGACGATCCGACGATAGCGGTGCGCACCCAGACAACAATGACAGTCAGGAGAGCAGCTTATCTCGGGCAGGGGAGAATCGCGGCGCGGCGCGGCGCGTCGTTCCGTTGTGAATTTCTCGTTTATCGTCTACCTCGTGTATCTTTACGAGCCGGCCGCCAGGTTCTCGCAAACGTTGCGTCGACGAAAGAGGCCGGTCGGGAAAACCAACGGCAACATCCGGCCGCGTTTAATGCGCCGACGCTAGACGCGATCCGTCTTTGCTGCCGTCGCAGACGTCTCCTCCTTCTTCTTTAAGTCTGGTGCTCGTGTCTTCGAGTGCATTCGAGTACACCGACTCGACTCGACTGCACTCGGTAGGCACCGCTACCCCCGCGACGCGACACGATGCGATGGCAGCTACGACCGACGATGCGACCACCTCGTCGCACCCAAAGCCCGTCCTCGACATCCCTGTTGTTCCCTTCGCCGTTGTTACGAGCAGAAGCCAGTTGACACAGTCGGCGACTTGGCCACCTGGGAAATACCGGGTAATGCTCACAAAGCTGGTTCCCTGTCTCCCTCGCGCTACCTCGGTCGCTCTCTTTCGACTTCCTAGCCTTCTTTTTCACTTCCTGTTTTCTTTTTGCCATCGTTGTCTGTCTTTCATCTCGTCTTTTCGCCGCGCCAGCGAATTTCCTGAGCATGCAAATGGGAACAACGCTCACGAAAATTACCCCGACTTCGACTTCTGTAATCGAGGACGCGAATCCAGAACCGATGGCCATGGCTTATTCGGTCGATGTATAGAAAGGTTCCACTAGCGTATATAGAAGGTTCCACTAGAAGTATATAGCGAGGCATTGTTTCTGGGAAGAGGCTTCTTAGTTTACGTGTGTCTATCTGCGCGAATATGTTGTTTGTTGGAGTTAATGCATTAACCGAGAGTTTTGAGCGTTCTGTATAACGTTAGTTATTCTTTCGTAACAGAGGTAGATTGTATTGGAATTGGTTATTAATGGTTTGGTATCGTAGTTCTTGAGTTACACTATTATTTAGTTACTTGTGACAGTCAATGTGTTAAATACAGCAAAATTTTTATTATCCGGCATTTTTACGGCATATACGGTACCGAGTGATTGGACTGTGCTAGTGAATAATAACAAAGAAAATAAGTTTTAACCTTGATCAGGCCCCAAGATCAATTTTTACTGTGATTCTTTTTAACCAGTTAACTATGGAATTTAGTTTCAAAGATCTCTCATCGTGCACGGAATAAAGTCAAGCAATGAAGTATATATTCGTCAAACTCAGTGAAAAAGTACCTCTAATACATTCTGACGAAAAACTAAAGCAAAGCGAAGAAGAAAACGCAGTTAACTGATTAAGGGGCCGATGAAGGTTAGAAATGATCATGAATAACATAATAGCGCAGTTCACTAATAAAGATACAATATATTAATGTAGTAGGTATATATAAAACGTTGCAAACAGTTGCGTCTACCTATTACCTAAGACTTTGACCACACTGATGAAAACTACTACTCGAACAGGTACGCGAACTGCTCGGAAATTATTCGCCGATACAAATAGTATCGCGTTCACACTAGAGCTGGCTAGCTGATCGAAAGCAGTTGGTGACTTGTTCGTTCGGTACTAAATATTATACACACGTCCAGACACGTTTCGAGCTTGCGAACAGTATCCTTTGATGTACCACCACCCGAGCGAACACTGTTCAGTGTTAACTGATACCGATGAATTCTCTGATCGCTACTGTGTTTCCTGGAAGGACCTAGGTGGATCGCGTGACCGATTCCCCTTGCCCCTGCCCGCTTAGCTGATACAGCGAGACTCAGGACGAAAGCAACGAACTTTATAGGGTGTATAAAAATTATATGTTGCCATAGCAGGTTGCTATACCTCTGGATCGGTGAAGATCTGTGAACAAAATGTACCGCAAAACTAACCTTGACCTTGAAAATCAAGGTCAAAAGGTCGACAATTCTTTTTTATTGCATCGGATGTTACTCGTCATGAGAAACAAAAGTCTCAAACGAACCATGGGTCTCAAGTCAACTATTCTCCTAAAAAGCGATATTAAAATTGTATTTAACTTCCAGAATAATTTTACTGTTGCAATGCGTTTATATTCACATGTTTCCACGGTAAATAGGTAGTAGGGGATGGATTGCCATGGCATGTAAACACCGCAGTAATGATCAGGCTCCTGGTATCTTGTTGATATTAAGATACGATGGTTCGATATCGTAATATTCGAAACATGTGTCGTGCTATTGACGAAGCAGGAAGAAATTATTCTTTAACTCCGGAAATATATCGTAATAGAGTAAGGAATAACAGAAAATTGTTGCGTGCAACAGAAGTACCAGGTTAATTTTGCGGTTCATTTTTTTAGCAGATCTACACCGATCTAACAGAAACACCGAATTTAGCAGAAACACCAAACTGTTTAATATGATTATCACGTTGAATACCGCACGATTTTAAGATGCAAAACATGCGAAATGAAAAAAAAATAGAATATTAAATTATTTAATTGAATTGTGTTGCTATTATTGCTGAATATCATTGCATTCGGTAGCGTTATTTACAATATAGGGTTGTTTTCAAATAATCATCGTTTAATTGCGGAAATTACAGTAATTGAATTTATGCAGGGGTGAGCGATGACCCCCATGGCATTCAACGTGTTAATATGTAATTCTTATAAAAATTGTAATAACAGATTTTTTTCGATTTCTTTATATAATCATTATAGTATTCAACTGGAACAATGTCTTTTCAAAATCATTTCGGATGTTTAAGATGTTTAAGTTATCAATAATTGCGAAATAGAAAAATTGAAACCCATCATTTTAACGAGTGCAATAGTTCTAGTGTTAAGCAGTGGCCATGCCTCGTAATATTTTAGTATTTCTTGAAAAATTCATTTCGAAGAAAGTGAAAAAATATACGTATCTTTGTTTGTATTAGTTATTACTCGCTACAATTAAAAACGGTCGGAACAAGTATGCCAGTTTATCGAACATTTTGGATAATTAAATATTGGATAATCGGAATTTCACTGTATCGTTGATTAAATAAAATGTTGAATGGAAATGTGGCATTATTTATTTAAATGTTGATGTATTAAGTTGAACAGACCCTATTTATGTACCCAATAATTTATCAGTGCCGCGGCGTTTTCTACCTGAAATCGCGACAAAGTTTCCGCTCGCCAAACAGTCAAATAAAATCTATCCTTGATTGGCTATTGTCAGCGCAGGATCTTCGTGAAATCTCGCTGTAAAGTAAAAATCGATGGCGCATCTGTGAATGGTCGAATAAAGTCCCTACTTTTCATCGGCGCTCCTGCTTAATGATTCGCGAAACAGTTCGAACACGTTCGTGCCACTCGTTTCGACGAAGCACTGTACAAACATCAAATCCAATGTCCCCTCGTGTTTCTTGCGATAGCAAAGTTTACGGAACTCCGATTTCTTTAGCCAGTGGCAAATTATTAAATCATCCCAACGATTTTCTTTTGGCCGAAAACATGTCAATAATCCTAGTGTTGAAGCTTTTGATGCTATAAATTTTGATAATCAGTTCCATAATTTGATTGATGAATATTTGATGATTGAAATTAATGTGAAAATTATAGTGTCAGCGATTTCCAAAATATTTTAGCGTGTTACAGTGTGGTAACACGTATTGAGCAGTAGCCTTTGTCTTTAGCACACCTCGTTCCAATGTCTCGAGAAAATAATCGCTCAAGAATAATTCTAACATCATCGTTTATCAATTCCTCTTCTTCGACGCTGTGTCTTTCTCGTTGACTTTCACCTTCTTCCCGCGGTTTAGAAGATACTTGGTTAGTTTGTAGATGGCGTAGATCGTAACCAACGCGATGATGATTAAAACAGCGATTACGTCGACGAGATTACGAACATACCACGGCAGTTGCGACGCATCGCTCTTTATGTAAGGCAAGCCATTTCCTCGACCGATGTATTCTGACCACCAGACTGCTGTATCTAGTGGACTCGTTGGACGATCTCTGTATGCTTTTGATAATCTTTTAGCATTTTCCATATATCTGCAACAAAAGATGGTTTAAAGTTAGGAATTTTGTATGAACGGTGAACTGTACATAGTTTCGCATTTTAATCTATAACTGTACACTGTGTTATCCTATGATCTCTTTCACAACTGTACTTGATAAAACTATTTTATCATTGATAATTTAGTGAAAAAAGATAAGAATTTCATGCTTATTCTGTACCTACGTTTACTCTAAAGTTTAAAGATCGATAATGGATAAGTAATATTTCACTTATATGAAAAATAATTTTTGTTCAATTCAGCTAACAATTTCAATCACGAGTCTGACTCAATATTATAAGAGAAGGAGTTAAGAAATGTTTCAAAACCAAATTTTTCCGTTTTAAGAAGACAATAATTTCATCACGTAGAAAACATGAAGGCAACTACTATTTTTCTAAGTATATTCATGTAATATTTATTGTATCAATTAATGCAACAGGTTATTTTGTACAATAAATCAGTTTACTTATCTACTTCAAAAAGGTACTGAAATAAAAAAAATTTCATTTGAGAAATTTTTACAATAACGGATAATTCCGGGAAAAATTATATTTATACTTTCAAATGGGACACCTTTTCTAATATTCATTGCAATCAAGGACGAATTTTTTCGAGATGGACAGAAATGATTTATATTTTGAGTTGGTTATAATTTATTCGGTTTCAATGAATAGTTATCAGGGAATAGAGAGGTAAAGAGGATAAAAATATGAATATTCAATACACGTTTCTAATATTCAGTAAGTACTTTATGCAGATTTTTCTGCGCTTTTTTAAAGAAGTTAAAATTAATAGCTTAAAATTTATACTTATAAATGTTCGACGTCAAATATATTTCACGCTTTAACGGCAGAAATAAATATTTAACGAAATAGTTTTTTTTAAGAACTCATTTATTTTTATTGTTGTAATTTTCATAATAAATGAAAAACGAAATGTTTTCTTCTGTAAGTACCGCGTACCCAAACTTTCAGAGATTGTCGACAGGAATTCTTCTAAAAATTTTCTAAAGTTAAAGATACGAACTTTTATGAAATCTGCAGTATAATAATTGTTTTCATGAAGAGTATTCTTGAGTAATCGTAAAATTGTAAGAAAGTGCTTGCATACTACAGTATTTTAACTAGAAAACCTTTTAGCTGTACAGCTTACTTTACATCAATTTTTGTATCATCATCAACCTATACTAATTTGTTACAATGAAACGAACGAATTTTTCTATAATTGTGTTTAAAATGTTGATCAGATAGTTTAGCAGATAAAACAAAGGAAGTACATTAGACAAAATAATAAGCAGTAACCTATAGAATATAATGTAGCTTTTTACATAATTTTAACATATTTTTGACCGACAATTCCACGCAGAAGTTCTCATATCATCACTTATTATTCCGTAATTAAATATGAAAGTGAAACAATCTAAATAGAGTTTAATATACTTTATTTATACATAATGAGTTCAAATGAAACTTTGGATATATATTTTATATAATTTTGAATATTTTGCTTCTGCAATATTTTACATTGCTTTGCGTTTCAAAAGTTGAAATGGCTAATGCAGGTCCAAACACGAGTTAACTCGTGACCGATCAACAATGTGTTAAAAGCTTCTATGTATGATACTTAGCTTATAATATACTTTATATTTTATATTTCATTCAAAGCAGTTTGAAAATGTGTCCACCAGACACAAAAAATAATAAAAAAAAGTATACCGATACCAAAGTTAAGATCAATTAACGTTCCACCTCCGCGGATTACGGAAGTCATCGAGAAGGCGCTTCGCCTGGAGCTTTTTCTGTCGCGCGGTTAACAATGATGCCCGGGTGCACAATGCAGGAACTGTTAAATTATTCATGAAATACAGGAATCGATCGACCACTCGATACCGCGACGAGCGGAAAAAGATGCCGCGGGATACTTTATAAATATCTCTGAGAGCTTTTAACGGGGCGCTTATCGGTCACCCGGAAACAACCTTTTCCATATCGATGAGAGGCCCGGGGTAGGACATCTCTGCGAAGGGAGCGTCGCAGGGAAACCCTCTTCCGCGATCGGTTGTTCGAAACTCGCCTTTACATGGACCTAGTATTTGGGACTATTCTGCGTGGAAAACCTGGGGGATAGTTGACAAATTGTTGAGAGAAAGAGAAAGAGAGAAAAATGTAGCTGACGTTGAAAGGGGAACAGCAAAGGAAAAAAGGGAGAGGACAGAAACGCAGAGAAACACGTTGAGCGTTGGCTAAGCGGGTGGGTTGGGGACAGAGCGGGTCGCTCGCGCTCGCAACCAGCCCCGACGACCCGGAGCACACAATTTACCAATCGGTATTCTCCATTATTCGTGTTTACAGCTGCAGGCCGCGAATCAACCTGGTCCCCCCTGTTATTTGCCTCGGTCAAATTCAGTCGCAGCCCTGCGGTGGTTTTGAATTAACCATCAATTTTAAGCGCGTTCGCTGTCCCTTCCGCCGATGCTGCGTGCGGCCGTTCACGGGGTGTGGGCCGCGAATGTTCCGAGAGTGTCGGATAGACACGGTGGCGAGCAAATTAATTTATTGTGACGGCACTGGGGAACGGAAACATTGTGTCGTGAGAAAAGATGGAGATGCACCAGGTGAAAATTGCGAGCGGGTGTTCAATTTTGTGTGGACTTTGTGAGAGTATCGATAAATCGACGATTACATAGTTAATCCTCTCATGTCCGCCTTGAGCGAAGTCGGGTGTGAAATCTATTTAAATACTCTTTGTATGTTTTATCTGGGCAATTCCCATGTCTGTCTGTAGACAAAACCGTAGAAAACGATATATAAACCTCATTTGGAAAAAAACTGATGTTTGTTTTTTGCTGAAGTAATCAGTTGATGGATAGAGTTTAATTGTCGTGCGAGCAGTAGTGCGTTTTTTATAGTTTAGGCGCTAGAGGGTTATCTTTCAGGCGGTAGATGATTTAACGGCCGCCGCGGAGACCTCTGTGATCTATAGTGTGAGATTAGGATTTTCATAATCTGTAGCTCAAAATTAGTCTATGTATACAGATTGCATGTTATTACGATAAGGGCAAATTGTTAAAAATCTACAGTAAAATAGAATAAAGAAGAAATGAAAATATGTATGCAAAGAAATAAATAATTGTTATTTACTCCTAATTGAACTGTACGCTATACGTATAAAGCATCACATTCTTTTTTAAAGTGTATTCTACAAATGAATCTTCGACATTTATTTCGTGTCGTTTTATACATGTTGTCATTAGCGATGTAAATATAACATCTCGAAAGTTTCCTAGATAAACTATAAATAATAAATTTTAAGAGGAATAAAAATAATTTTTTGAAATATAAATATAAATATAGATGTTTAAAAAACATGTTTAATATTATGAATACCACAATCGATAACTATTTTGTTTTCATTGTCTTTTAAAATTTATATTTGCATTCTGAAAATTTGCTGTGCGGTTAACTTAATTATATGTAATATGTTGATAAAATACACATACATAGAATCTATTTGCACATGTTTCTTGAAGAGAACAATCGAGTATTTGTACGGAGCTGTTACAAATATTTTCGAAGTTTGCATGATAGAAAAGCTATTAATTAAACGACCAAGCGCAATCGGCACACGGTGGAAAATGATACTCGCTTTATTCATGAAAAACCACTGCTGAACATTAAGGTACAGGAAATCGTTAAAGCAGTTTATGAAGAGCTGACATTTAATGAATTATTGGAAGAATGGCTTGGTGTATTTACGTTAAATAACAATGAATCTTCAAACTCATTAATATGGATTTTTCTCTGAAACATTCATATTGTAGAAAGAAAGCTGTTTATTTTAAAAGGTTGATTTAAACGTATTTGACAATACTTATTAATATTCAATGAAAAATTGATTTCAATAATGAAAATAATGCAAATAACTTGAGTAAAAATTGAAATAAATACAGAAAAATTTGTCAAGCATAAACATTATGCAAGTTTTATTCCTTCTAACTGGCAATTTATTATTATAGACACTATACAGATTTCTTAAAAACAAAACAAACGAATTACTTCATGGTTTATTTCGTGCTGATTGAGTTAACTACTGCTAAAGCTTGTTCAAACTGTATTTTTTCGAAAACGAGACCTCAAATTAAAAAGATTCTCAAATAGACCATGAATCACAGAATATCCTATACATGTAACGACACTGTCCAATTTTTCCTCAAATTCAGAAATTGTTACGATCGACGGGTCGACGCTTGGTCGCGACTCGCATGTTTTCGCCAAATTAATCTTGGGCACCTGGATCCGTTGGTGGAGCAGTGATCGCGTCTTCGCGTTACGTTTGTGTTCGGTACGAGATTTTTGTAAACAAGTCTTCGAATCCGGAATGATTATTCGAGTGTGATTTTGAGTGTTTGTCGCGAGAATTGTAAACGAGTCTTTCGAGCGACCATGTTGTTGCGAGTGTCTTGTTACGATGTGTTCTGCGACTGTTCTTTTTCGAATGTGATATGCGACTGTTCTTCGTCGGAGCTCTTGCACCCACCAGTCAACTCTTTACCCCTCCTTCGGATGTTTGGAAAGGGATGCTGACAGAGTGGGAACAACAGATCAACGAAGTTTTGGAGAAAAAATGAATTTCGCAACAGCGGGAAAATTCCTCTAGTTGACGCACGTGCAAGGGTGTACCCCGATACGAGTACGCACCCTTGTCCGCAGGTAGTCCTCGCTGTTGCGCGTACGTTCGGTGAAACTGCGAAAGAAAACCCTTTATGTGGGCCCATGTACACGTGTCTACCTAAGTACGGGCACACACCCATGGCGGCGGGTAATCCTCGCCGCTGCGCGAGAATTCATCTAGTTTATGACAGAAGCGATTTTTGTACGGGACAGAAAATGCGAGGCTGACCTGCACAAAGGCCGAGGCCGGGCCCCGGATTAACTGTCCCGAACGCTCGACCGTGTTTTCGCCCGTGTCATAAACCAGACCCGTGTATCGACG